AGAAACAAGAGGGCTGGAAAGGGACCTTTGAGTTCGAGCAGCTGCTGAATAGAATAGGAGCGGGAAGGGGACCTTAGAGGTCTTCCAGTCCAACCCCCTGCTCAGGCAGGAAGCCCCATGTAGCATTTCAGAACTAGAATCAGAATAGAGCTGAAAGGGACTTCAGAAGTCTTCTAGTCTGACCCCCCCCCAGCTAAACCAGGAGACCCTGTTTCATTCCAGACAAGTGGCTTTCCCGTCTCTTCTTAAAAACCTTCAGTGATGGAGCAGCCACAAGTTCTGGTGGCAAGCTGTTCCACTGGTTAATTGTCCTCCCTGGCAGGAAGTTTCTCCTTATTGCTCCTCTCCTTGCTTAGTTTCCATCCATTGCTCCTTGTCCTGCCTTCTGGGGCTCTGGAGAAGAGCTTGACCCTCCCTTCCCTCTGCCACCCGCTCCAATATTGCACCACTGCTATCACGCCGCCCCTGCTATCAAGTCCCACCGATCAACTGTTCTCTCTTGCGGGACGTTTCTCCTTATTTCCATGTTGGGTTTCTCCTTGATTGGTTCCCCTTCCATTGTGGGATTTACTTAACTATCGTAGCAAGGGAAGATTTCCAGATGCCACCAGGATGGAGAATTATTATTATTTGGGGGGGAGGGACGCCTGCCTTGGCTTTTTTATGCTTAAACCGAATCTCAGGGGCCTTTTGACGGACACGTTTATCCTCCCACCTGGAGTAATTCCGCAAGCATTTTTGGTTTTCCTTCCCTAAATGGTTGGGGGTCTCCACCAAGACCGCAGATGAGAAAAACCACATCTGCACTGCACCCAAGAAAACTGAGTTCACCCGGATTCTTTGGCAGATGTGACCTCTCCTCGAATCATAGAGTCCGTCCTATTTAGGGTTTTCCAACATGGTCAACTTTTAAGGCGGGTGCACTGCGACTCCCAGAATTCCCTAGTTGCCACAATCTCCCCCACAATTGCTACTGTTGAGCCAAGTGCAGTCCATTCTGTACCTGGTTTTTCCTGCCTGTAGTCCTCGAGTTACAACAGTTTATTTAGTGATCGCTCACAAAGTTACGACGGTACTGGGGGGAAAAAACCTGACCTACGGCCATTTTTCACACTGATGACCTTTGCGAGTGTTCTGACCCAAGCCTCGTTCAGATCAGACAGACACCAAGTATGTATGAAAGCAAACCTTTTTAAGGCGTCTCTGTGAATTCTCTTCCTTCACAGCAAAGAGTCATTAAAAGTAATTGTCCCAGATAAGAGCAGGTTGCGAAAGGCTGCCAAGAACACAAGATTAAATTGCAAGGAAATACCCAAAGCCAAAACTCTCCGAAAACAAACCAGAATAGACAGGATTTCTACAAGACTTGAAGGGCAAGAACTTCGTTGCTTCCTGCAAAGAATCCCACCTCTGAGGGCTGGCTTTTATCCCTTAAGGGAGGGGCCATCACCTTGCAGCCTTGCTCCCGAGTCGCCTGTGCTGCTGCAGCTGCTCTTTCCTTCTGTGCACATGCACCCGGCACAGGCTCCTCGGGGGCCTCTTCCTCACTGCTGCCAGCCTCCACAATCTCCAAAGGCCGCATTCCACTCCCTGAGGGTCCTGGCCCCATCCCTGCATCACACGCAGGCCCCTCATCCGAGTCCTCGCTCTCCGAGACCTCAGCCGTCCACACCTGCTGCCGACGAACCACAACAGCAAGCATCCCCACGATCATACGATCAAAATTCAGGCATTTGGCAACTGACTCATATTTATGACGGTGGCAGTGTCTCCCAGGGTCATGTTGATCCCCTTTTATGACCGCCTGACAAGCAACATCCATGGGGAAACTGGATTCACTTAACAACTTAAATCGGAGCCAGCCATGTGCTGCTGCAGCCAAAAGAGCCAATGCGATCCTAGGCTTCTGCACCAACAGAGGGATAGCATGAACATCATGCGAAGCGTTGATGCCGCTTTAGAAGGCCTTGGTAATAAGGCCACACTTGGAATATGGCATCCAGTTTGGGTTGCCACGATGTAAAAAAAAGGTGGAGACCCTGGAATGGAGTGCAGAGAAGAGCAACTGAAATGATTAAAGGCCTGGAGAGTAAAACATACGAAGAACAGCTGCAGGAATTGGGTTTGGCTAGCTAGTCTGATGAAAAGAAGGGCGGGGGGGGGGACAGGATAGCAGCCTTCCCGTATTTGAGGGGCTGCCCCAAAGAAGAAGAGGGAACCAAGCTATTCTCCAAAGCACCGAAGAAGGCAGGAAAAGGAGCAAAGGATGGAAACTAAGCAAGGAGAGAAGCGACCTGGAACCAAGGAGGAATTTTCTGACAGGGAGGACAATCAACCAGTGGAACAGACATTGCCTCCAACAGTGGAGGCTTCTAAGAAGAGACTGGGCAACTGTTTGTCTGAAATTGCATAGGGTTTCCTGCTTAAGCAGGAGGCTGGACTAGAAGACCTTGAAAGTCCCTTCCAACTCTGTTATTCTGTTATCCCCTTCAATGTAGACCCTAGCCCTTATGTTTCTATGATCTTGGACAAGATGCCAAGGTCCCTTCCAACTCTATTTTGTATGAAGGTATGAAGGTAGCTCCAAGTTCTCTGTGATCCTGTCGTTTACCTGTCCCTGCAGGCAACCTACCTCATCTTGAGCCACTTGTGCCGCCCTCCTGTCCACCTGGCTGGCCTAAACAAGCAAAGAAAAAAAAAAGGAAACATTTAAAAACGAGAAGATTGGGAAACTGTTTCCTGCAGACCTCCAAAATGGGCCCCCACTCTTCCCCCAAGCCTTGAAAAAAAAAAAAACCCCACCTCCCCAGATGGTGTTTCAAACACCCACTTCCTCTGCTTTCGGCTCCCTCCAACCCAAAATCCCCCCCTTGGTGTCCAACCTCCAAAACATTCTGCTTTGGGGCTACACCACCCGTTTCCCACCCTTCCTTCCAATCTATGCACCAGGGTTCAGGCCTTCACACTTGACTTAGGATAGATAAGAAGCTGTAGTCAATTTCCTATGAGTTGTACACAGGGGTTAGCAGACGGTTTCGAAACCTCATTCTCATTTTCCTGGCTTTTGTTTCCTCTGATGCTTTACCTGTTCAGTATTTTGTTATCCATAGAGTAGATAGCTGCTGACAGGTTAATAATTGGCAAGTAGAAATAGAAGTTTAAAAATTTGCTTTGGGGCCTGTTTTGCAAGGAGCGTGAAACTAAAATGGCTGTAATAAATTCATTGGTATTCAACTCAGGGGGGACGACAATGTGTGTTTATGCGTTTGCGTTTTTTTAATGCACTTTTTTGTGTAATCTATTGTCTGCTTTATTTATTTTTTCTTTCTTTCCTTATCTTTTATGCATCTATATTTTTTTTTTGAAGTTTTGCATTTTAACTTCTAGAATAGAGTAGAGTAGAGTAGAGTAGAGTAGAGTGGAGTGGAGTGGAGTGGAGTGGAGTGGAGTGGAGTGGAGTGGAGTGGAGTGGAATGGAATGGAATGGAAAGGAGTGGAGTGGAGTGGAGTGGAGTAGAATAGAATAGAATAGAATAGAATAGAATAGAATAGAATAGAATAGAATAGAATAGAATAGAATAGAATAGAAAATAGAATAGAATAGAATAGAATAGAATAGAATAGAATAGAATAGAAAATAGAATAGAATAGAATAGAATAGAATAGAATAGAATAGAATAGAATAGAATAGAATAGAATAGAATAGAATAGAATAGAATATTCTTTATTGGCCAAGTGTGATTGGACACAGAAGGAATTCGTCTTGGTACAAATGCTCTCAGTGTCCATAAAAGAAAAGATTCATTCGTCAAGAATCATCAGGGACAACACTTAATGACAGTCATAGGGTACAATAGGCAATCAAAGCATACTAGGAAACAGTAGAAAAATTATGTATTATAATTTCATGTCGGGGAGAGGGAGGGAGGGAGGGAGGGAGGGAGGGAATCTCCCTTTGGTCTCCAATATCTGAAAAATTAGGTTTGAGGCCAAAGAGACCCTTTCCCCTTTCGATCAGGCCCTGCATCGCTCCCCCCCTCAACTCCCAGAGAAGACCACCCCCTGACCCCCCCGACCCCCCCACCCCTGGGATGCTAAGACAAATTCCAATCACACTTGGCCAATAAAGTATCCTCTTTCTTTTCTTTTTTTCTCTTTCTTTCTTTCTTTCTTTCTTTCTTTCTTTCTTTCTTTCTTTCTTTCTTTCTTTCCTTCCTTCCTTCCTTCCTTCCTTCCTTCCTTCCTTCCTTCCTTCCTTCCTTCTTTCTTTCTTTTCTTTCTTTCTTTTTTTCTTTCTTTCTTCTTTCCTTTCTTCTTTCTTTCTTTCTTTCTTTCTTTCTTTCTTTCTTTCTTTCTTTCTTTCTTTCCTTCCTTCCTTCCTTCCTTCCTTCCTTCCTTCCTTTCCTTCCTTATCTATCTGTCTGTCTGTCTGTCTGTCTATCATCTCTCTCTCTCTTCTCTCTGTCTGTTTGTCTGTCTGTCTCTCTATATCTACCTACCTACCTACGTGCCTACTTATCTATTCTGATCTCCGCCATGAACCGTGGATAAGACAGAAGAAGGGCACCCAAAGCAGCTGAAAATGGAAAATTGGGAGGGGGCTGTCTCAGGATCCCCTCCCCCCCCCCTCTCTGGTAATGGCAGAGTTTGGCCCTGCTCACCAGCAGCTCCTCCTCCTGTAACTTCCAGGCGATCTCGGCATCGTAGGCTTCGGGGTCCCGGGAAGCCCCCAATCGTGGTCTGGCGTAAGAGTCTTCTTTCGACCCCCGGGGTTTTGTCCCTGAAAAACAGGAAGCGCGTTTCCAGCCAGGTGTCAACTCATCAATCATTTCTATGCCTGTTTTAGAGTTGCCATGAACGGAAGGGGGAGGAAAGAAATTTGAGGGGGGGGGGTCAGCGCGGCAGTTTGGAACCCAAAGTGCATCCCATCCATATCTTGCAAAGATGATAACTAAGCGAGCGGGATTTCTGCCTCTGCAAATCTCTAATTGGAGAATGTGATTGATGACTCTCGGCTGTGAACCTGGTTCATCGGAGAATATAAGTCATCATTAAACCAAGAGGGCTTGGTGGGGGGACAACCAGGGTCAAGGGCAGAGGTGGGATTCAGCAGGTTCTGACCCGTTCTGGGGAACCACCGATAGCGTAAATTCTGAGCCGTTCGGAGAACCGGCCAATCCCACCTGACTGACTGACCCCACCTCCATCTATTCTCCGCCTCCCATGGAGTCCCAGCTGATCGTCTGGGTCTCCTTTGGTTGCCCTGCTCAGGAGAATGGAGCTGGAAAGCAGGTTAGTGGGGTGGGGAGGGGAGGGGGATTTTGCAGTATATCCTTCCCCTGCCACGCCCACCAAGCCACGCCCACAGAACCGGTAGTAAAAAAATTTGAATCCCACCACTGATATACATGATAGATAGATGGTAGGTAGGTAGGTATGTAGGTATTTAGGTAGATAGATGGACAGACAATATAGATGATAGACGATATTCATTAACAATAGATAGAAATGATAGATAGGTAGATATAGATCAGAGGTGGGATTCAGCAGGTTCTGACCCGTTCGGGGGAACCACCGATAGCATAAATGTTGGGAGAACCGGCCAATCCCACCTCTGACCGGCCCCGCCAACCCCATCTCTTCTCCGCTTCCCATTGAGTCCCAGCTGATCGGCTGGGTCCCCTTTGGTTGCCCTGCACAGGAGAACAGAGCTGGAAAGCAGGCTAGTGGGGTGGGGAGGGTAGGGGGGATTTTGCAGTATACCCTTCCCCATGCCACGCCCACCAAGCCACGCCCACACCCAACCAGTAGTAAAAAAAAAATTGAATCCCACCCCTGTTCAAGGGTGACAGTGAATGACGTGTCTCAAGAGTCGGTTTCATCCAGGGTCATGCCGACATGTTCGCTCCTAATAAACCCTTCGAGGTTTTTGAAGCTGGGCTCGAGGCTCACAACTTCGTGAGGGCGACTGCCGGAATCCTGACAGCAGGATTGAGAGCTTAAAGCAGAACGGCAGCAAAGGAACGGCTGAGGATCCACCAAGGGCTGGCCTCCCTTTTCAGGCAGTCCTCGACTTACGACCACAATGGTAGGCCCAAATCTAGGTGGCTACGCCAGGCGCTGGTTAAGGGAGTTTGGCCCCGTGTTACGACCTATTTTTTTTTTTTGGCACGGCCGTTAAGCAAACCCCTGCCGCTTTTAAGTTAGTCACGTGGTCGCTAAGTGAGTCCGGCTTCCCCCTTGACTTCTGTTTGTCAGAAGGTCGCAAAAGGGGATCACGTCACCCCCGGGACACTGCGACCGTCATAAACACAAGGCCGTTGCCGATGGGCTGAATTTTGGTCATGTGACCCAGGTGGGGGAAGAATGCTGTGATGGTCGTTAAGTGTGAAAAACAGCCGTAAGTCACTTTTTTCCCCCAGTGCCATTGTAAATTTTGAATGGTGACTAAATGAACGGCCGTAAGTCGAGGACCACATGTACCTGGTGGGTTGGACCTTCATTTGGCAGGTGGGGAACCAGGATGCCAGGAGGGGATTTGAGGAGGCTGCCAAGGGGTTGCCAGCCTCTTTTCTGTCCAGCTCCACAGCTGGAGGGTCCCCAAGGACCCAACTTGATGCCCCTGGGAGCCTGTGCCCCCCCAAAAAAAAACCACTACCCCCCCCAGGGAGATCAAAGAAGCCCCTTCAGTCCAGGCAGTTTCAAGGGGGAGGCCACCCAGTTTTCTTGCTGATGGACTGAAGCGGTGAGGGGTCCGAATTGCGCTGGGCTTTCTTTTTTTTTTTTTTTTTGAGGACATTTCATTACCCTACTAGGTGATGTCAACAGTGCTAGAAGGGAGTGTGTATAAACAGTGGGCAAACCCCACTCCCTTCTAGCATGGATGATGTTACCTAGTTAGGTAATGAAACATCTCCAAGAAAACAATGCAGCTCAGAGAGCACAAAGACCCCCCCCACCCTCCTTCCTTCCCTTCCTTCCTTCCTTCCTTCCTTCCTTCCTTCCTTCCTTCCTTTCCTTCCTTCCTTCCTTTCCTTCCTTTCCTTCCTCCTTTCCCTCCCTCTCTTCCTCCCTCCCCTTCCCTTCCTGTCCCTCCCTCACATTCCCATTTTCTTCCTTCCTTCCCTTCCCTTCCCTTCCCTTCCCTTCCCTTCCCTTCCCTTTCCTTTCCTTTCCTTTCCTTCCTTTCCTTTCCTTTCCTTCCTTCCTTCCTATTTCTCTCTTCCCCCCCATAACCTCCCCCTTCTAGCGCTGCTGAAGTTAGTTAAGTAATGGAACATCTCCATTAAACAATCTCAGACAGCACCGAGGATCCCACCACCTCCTTCTTCCCTCCCTTGATGATGTTACCTAGTTAGGTAATGAAACATCTCCAAGGAAACAATCCAGCTCAGAGAGGCCCAAGGACCCCTCCTTCCTCCCTCCCTCCCTCCCTCCCTCCCTCCCTCCCTCCCTCCCTTCTTCCTTCCTTCCTTCCTTCTTTCCCCTTTCCTTTCCTCTCCTTTCCTTCTTTCCTCCCTCCTTTATAGTCTTCCTACTCTCCTCTTCTTCCTCCTCTCCCTCCCTCCCTCCCAGGACTGATGATGTTCTCTAGTTGGGTCATGAAACGCCTGCCAAGAAAACAGCCCAGCTCAGGGAGCCCCAAGGAGCCCCAATTTCTTTTCTCTCCAGGGAGCAAAGCGGATCTTCTAGGGAGTTTGAAGTCCTCCAGGCTTAAAAGGGCCGAGGTTGGAGACCCCCTGGTTGAATGGACCATGATATTAAGGCTTTTTT